ATATATATATTAACGATTTTTGATGTGTGTGTGTGTTTGTAGCGTTGTTTTTATCGTTGTTTGTTTCTTATATTCCTATCTGCCGTCCTTCCTTGCACGTCGCTCCTTGGTGTTTGGTCCTTTTTTTTTTTTTACGGCCAAGCAACACGCGGGGGGAAGGATCCATCCGCCCTCCGCCTTAGCCCCCTCATCCACACCCCAGCAGAGTCACTCAGGTGTGCCCACCTGCATTACTGTCTGGGTTTGTCAAAGGGAGGCGACGGTGGGCGGTGGCACGGGAACTGGTGAAACATCAAAGAGTCTCTCTATATATTTCTATGTGTGTGTAGCGGGAATAAAGATGAAAGCGCTTTGGTAAAAAAGAGAAACGATGAACATTTAGAACAATTCCACATTAGCAATGGGTGTGTCGGTGTGTATATGTGGTTACGTGTCATGGGCGTACAGCGAGCCGGAAGGAAGATGGTCAGCGCCTGCTTCCTTCCTTTCCTGGGCCGCTTTGGCTTGGGGCACTTCGCCCTACTCACAGGCTCTTCTGCTTCTCTCCCTCTCTCTATCTCTCTTTATTTCTATGTACGTGTACGGTTCCACATACACATATGTATATGCTGCAGTCTTTTGGGCGAGACATGGAGACAAGCAGTGACAAGAAGGAAAACAATAGCAGGATTCACCATTCCCTACAGCGGGGGCTGTGTGCGGTGACTGATGAGAAGACGATTCTTTCGCTGCGGCTGGATGAACTGCAGCGTGAAGTGGAGAGGCTGCGAGGGGAAAAGGCCGGTTGCAACCACGGCAATGTGGTGGGCGATGCTGAGCTCGCCGAGTGCCAATGCCGAGTGATGGAGCGCGCGAACGAAATGCTTCACGTGCAGATGCTTCGGGATGTTACCGGAAACCAATCACTTTGCCGGCAGAGTGAACGAAAACCTCACACGTCTTCGTTGGCCCCTCCGGGAGTGGCCGCAGGCATTGATGGCGTGCAACTTCCCTTGGAAGGACTCCGCCGTGCTGTGCGGGACGCATTCGGGCCCGGCAGACACCTGTTAGACGACGGCACTGCTGTCACGGTGGAGTACACCCATGACCACGTCGTCGTGCGTGGCTCACGGGCGAGTCGGAACGCGTTCATGGCCTTCCTGCTGCACATCGTGCTGCGTTACATGGGAGGCACGCCACAGCGAGAATGGGGCGACAGTGCGGAGGAGTGCCCCAGCCTCAGTGGCCCGCGTGCGGTGTCGCGGCCCACGGCGACCGTTGGGGTCTCCGGGGAGAATGAAGGTGGGCGGGCACTTGAGTCAGTGCAGATGGAACGGGAAAGGTCGCAAATGGCCCGACAGCGCGCGGAACATGAGCCTGTCCAGCAGCAGGCTACGTCGAATTTTCAACGCGCGCAGAACACGGAGCAGAAGCGGCAATTAGGTGGGCGGCGGGTAGAGCAACTGGAGGTGGAGCTGCGGCGGAAGTGGGGCGGCCCCCACGTTGTCCTGCACCGGCATGTGGAGAACGATGTTGCGCCGAGGCGGAAGGTGGACGATGATTACCGCGCTGACGCGATGGCCGAGACCTCGCCCCAACGCGGCAGAGACCCTGTGCATTCGCTTGATAGGAGCGGATACTCCGAAAAGCGTGGGGTGATGTCCTCGGCCTCATGGGCAAAGAGCAACCTGCCTGCGATGGCGCCGGACGCGGAGAGGAGTTTAACTTTAGCGACGGAAGGAAGCGGCATTCCTGCCAATCGACGTGTCGGTGGGTCCCCTCTTAGAAGCCACGCATGTGAGGAGACGCTGCTGCTGCTTCAGCGGGAGGTGGAGTTGCTGCGGGATGAAAAACACCGTTTGTTACGGCAGCTGCAGTGCAGCGCAGACGACGTGAAGCAACAGCGCCGTCGACTGCAGGATGCTGAGGCTGCGACGGCGCATTTGTGCCGCAGTGTGTTAAACTCGAGTGAAGTCGTGGCGACAGTCCTCAGGGGGGAAGCGGCGGCCCCCTATCTTATGCTGCATCGAGGCGGCGGCGTAGATGAGCACCGTGTGCAGGCGCTCGTGCAGGCACTCTCCGAAAACAGTGGCACCGCACACGATGACGGTGACGATGCTGCGGGTGGGACCGCCCGGCTAATGGAACAGCGGTTGGTGGATGTGGCGGCGCTGCTGGAAATAGAGCGTCGCACGTGGAAGGCGGCCCTTGCGTTTGCTGTAGACGAACGCGATGCCGCCATGCAGGCACAGCAAGAAGAGGCGCTTCTGGCTCGCCCTGACACCGCTACCGTGGCACCGCCGCTCCTGACGACGGCGACGACGGCTCTCGAGAAGGAAAACGTGGAGCTGCGCATTGAGCTTCAGCGCTGCTTCGAGGACATGCGGCGACTGGCTCATGTCATTGCGCGTTCCCATACGATGTACCAGGAGGCGCAGGAAAAACTGCGGGCGGGTGACCGACGCATGCACGAAAAGGAGGAGACAGTGCTATCTGTTAGGCGGCGCCAGGACTCTGCCTTGATGGCTGCATTAGAGCGGGAGCGAGCACTGGAGCTTCAGCTTCAGCGGCTACAGCAGCAGGGTAAGTGGGACGCGACGCATTCACTGCGTGCCGCCGCCGTGGCCCACACTGAACCACAACGCGAGGCCCTAGCGCATCTTGTATCGACACCCTCCAAGGGGAGTTGCGCAGTGAGTGGCACCACATTTGGCGGCAGCCGGAACAATCAGCCGCACCAGCCCCAAGTAAAAACCGACACACAGGAATGCAGTTTTGTTAGTAGGGGCAACGGCTTGCAGAGCGGGCCCAGTACTGCAACGACACCGTTGTGGAAAACGGAAGCAGCAGGAACGGCCGTGTTGTCCTCTCCATCAACGCGGCTGCAGAAGGGGAACTTTGAGCGGGCTCTACGGGCCATTCACCCTTCATGAGACCCCGGGGGGGGGGGCTTCTCAGTGCCGGGAGAAACGAATTGGGTGTGGGGGGGGAAGAGTGAGTCTTTCAGTGTGTGTGTGTGTGACCCTCCCTCCTCTTTATCCCTTTCTTTGCGTCATGGACGATTACGTGTCTATTCCTTTCTTCTTGTCTTTGCTTTAGGGGAGCAGCGTGTGGCGTTGAGGTGGCGCCGCTCTTCATTTCTTTGAGGAAGCAAAGCCACACACACACACACACGCACAGTAGTAGCGGTAGTGGGGTGAGGCAGCGGAGGCAACGTACGAAACGAGGAGAAGGGCAATAAATAGTGGGGGTGGCAACGAATAACGAAGAAGAAGCAGAAAAGAAAATAACACAAAAAAAAACGGTAGCAAGAGGAGGGGTGTGGCGGCAGTATGGGGCTGCATGGTACAGAGCCGCATGGCAGGGCAATGTGGCGCTCGTTGTTTCTCCCCCTCAGGGAACGTGTCGTGTTCGCGTCCTTCATTACGATGTTGTGCCCGCTTCAATCGCCGCAGCTGCAGCCAGGGCAATTCTCGTGTCGGGAGGCTTCCTCAAGTACGGATTTTCAGCCCCCCACCACAGCTGGGAGGGCTTACTCCCCCGATGAGGACGGGGCTGCCACGCGCTCGCCCCTCTTTGCACTTTGCGGGGAACGGGCAGACGCCATCGTCTGCGTCCTTGCGGACGGCAAGGTCGTTTTTTTTGACCTTACAGATGAACACGAGGGGCCGAAGGAAATTCGACGATTCTCCACAAGGAAACTGCGTACTTGCACGTCATACAAGGCGACGTGTGCCTCCATCATCCCTTTAGAAGTGACGTATATGTGCCGTGTTTCGGCGGTGACACAACCGACGACAGCCCCGCCGCTTTCAGGAAGCAGCTGTAACTCAGCCATCTTCAAACCAGAACCAACTGGCTCGGATCGAGCAATGTACCTTCGCGGAGTTGTGGGTTCGAGCGATGGCAGCGTCGAGGTCTTTTCTGAGCATGGGTTCGTGTTTGGGTTCGTTGCCCATGACGTACCTGTGGTGGCGGTGGCCGCCATTTACACCGCGGAGGACGAGGATGCAGTTCAACGTCAAGAGGTAGCCAGCAAAAAGAGGGATTTCAAGCTATCCCCGGGAAGTGACAACCCGGGGTGTCAGTTTGAGATTTCCATCGTGGGCCTGGGGTTCGTCACGTGCAGCTCCGACGGGGTGGTTTATGTATGGAAGAGAGACGGGCTTGCAATTAAGCCCACAATGTTTGAGAAGAGCGCATTTCCCTCGCGGACGTTTAAGTGGCACGTGGTGCAGCCCTCCAGTCGGGAGTGGCTGCTAAGCGGTATGGGGGCGGCGCGGACGCCGCTGGTGGTACATATCACCCCAGGCATGGTACACGAAATCCGTGTGCGCAGCAGTGTGACATTTAGGGACGTTGAGCCACGCATCAAGCTGCCGGGATCTCCCTTTTCTCGTACCACGGCTATTGCAGCTGTGGAGAATTTAGCCCTTGTGGCGCGTGGTAAAAAAGTGTACCGCGTCAACTTTGCCGAGTCCCGGTGTGAGCGTATCCTCACGGCTCTTCACACGGTGACAGGCCTGTACCTTAGTAGAGCTGGCCTCGCCGTGGCCACCTGCGACAGCGGCAGCATGCTGTACGTCCTATCCCTGGACCCCATGTCAGTGCTTGGCCGTTACTACGTCCGTGGAGGTGGCCCTTTGTACTCCGTCTCGCTGCATCCGGACTCACACCTCTTGGCGATTGTCTCCGGCGATGGGACCGTGGAGGTGGCATTGATGCCAGAGGCCTGGAACGATGGTGCTGCCAACAAAGTTTACACCCGCAGCGATGTCATGAACTCGATTCAGGCAGCCAGAGCCCTTTACTGCCTTGTAGGTATGCATAAACGGCATGGTGACGCGTCGTACAACGCAGCTGATGTAATGTTGCAGGCTGCCGAATACGAGTCGTTGCTCTTGGCGCGCATGGCAGTCCCGGAGGGGACGTTGCGTTATCTTCACCCCGCCACTGAAATTGCATAAGGACGTGCTGTAGTTTTGGGGACGGAGGCGGTGACGTAGTAGAGTACACTGAGTAGGGGCGGCAGTGGGGAACGGTAGAAATGATATGTTTTTGTTTGTTCGTTTGTGCGTGTGTTATTTGTTTTTTCACCTATATTTTTCCAGTTGACACGTGCCTGGTGGTTGCGTACCACCACCCCCACCCCCATTCCTTCATGGGGGAACCGACGACGCTGAGGTGGGCCGTAGTAAACTGCGGGGGAGGTGGCAGTGTGACTGTTGCATACAACGGATGGGGGCGGAGCGCAGAATTGCGGCTGCGGGACCACGTGTGGGAGGGCCGCGTATCCCCCCTGCGGGCCGCTGTCCTTCCATCGGCATCATGTTATTTTGTTTCCATTTTTTTTTGTCTTGTTTTGTGGTGCTGGCTTGCGCATGCGCGTCTGCCGCCCGTGTGCCTGCTGAGCACACCGCCTTTTTTTCCCCCGCATGTATGGTGCCTGCCGTGTCGCCGTTGTATTTTTGGACGCCCACGTCGCGTCCTGGAGGAGGAAAAGAGAAGGGAACAAACGGAAGGGAGGTAATAATTAAAAAAAAAAAAAACAAATCGGCCGAAGTTGCAGCGGGGGACTGCCGTCGTCACGGGAAGAGAGGCAGCCAAGGCTGTTTCCTCTCTGCGTGTCAGTGGCTGAGTGGCTAGTTAGTTGATCGCAGCAGCAGCAGCAGCAAGAAGGGGAGGAGGATGCTGCGCCGTGCGCCGTTCCTCTTTGCGACGAGCATTCCGCGAAGTGCGTGGGACCCAGCGCACTTCAACACGAATTGGTCTGACAGCTACAGCGGCGACATCGCAGCCCGCCGCCACTGGCCTGCAAAGAAGTGGTCCATCGGCCTCGAACCCCGCACCCCGCGCGACTGGCTGCAGTTTTCCTATCGCAATCTAGCCTACGCGTACAACGGTGCCCTGCGCGCTTGCCAAAGCTTTCCAGAAATGCTGGTGTACTACAAGGAAATGAAACAGCGCGGGGTGAAGGTGGACGTGGACACCATGAATGTTCTCCTTACTCGCGCCGCACGCTACGAACGGATTCAGGTGGACGATGTTTTTCTACTCTTTGACGAATTGACGGCGTTGGGGGCACGTCCCGACATCGCGGCCGTTGAAACCCTACACACCGTGCTGGACCACAGTGCCGCCATGCCGTACGAGTGGCGCGAGGCCCGTCGCCGGCAACTGGTGGAGTTGTATAATTGTCTTGCCATGGAGGAGATTGAGCGGCTTGCCCCCCACCGTGTGGACCGGCTGCTAAAGGAGCAAATCAAACGCTATAGGGATAATCTACGTGCGCTGAAGGCGAGCCTCAGCCCCACTGTCTACCGCCGCTACCTGCACACGATGCACTCCGCCTCGCTGCTGTTGGAGGAGGTGCATAATTTTTTATGGGAGCTTGTGGAGAGTGATCACCCTGCAATGGAGGTTCCTGCGCTGCAGCTGCGCGTCCCATTTGTGGGGTCCGTAATGCGGCGTCCTGACGCGGACGCCAATGCGCAGCTGGTGAAGTTCACAGACTTTGAGGATGCGGATGTGTGCTCGGTTTTCCTCGCCGCCGCGGAGCGTGCGGTGGACGTCGATTTGCACGACGTTCGGCCGGTCTCAGAGCGGCGGATTTTTCTCTCGTTACTGACGATGCTTTCCTACAGCGGCGTGCTGTACACCTCGGACCTCATGGCGCATCTGATGGAGATGGTGAAGTACTCCACCCACGGTGCTGCGCGGGACTCGGATGCGCAGCGGGTTCTGCGGTACGCCATTCGTGGTTCCAGTGCTGCGCAGGATGAGGTGTACCGCTCGCTGTGGCACAAGGTGGAGACGGTGGCGGACAGCCGGGTGGTGGGCCGGTACATTGGCGCCCGCGAGCCGTGGAGCCCAACCCGCGTGTGTTTTGACGAGCGTGGGATATTCAGGTCCTACCCGCCGCTGGTGCACGCCGCCGCTAAAAAGTCGTTGACGGGGGAGGGGGAGGAGCAGCGGGACGACCGACAGCGCATGTCGAGGGAGCTCGCCCCGCACAAAGGGGGGGCGGAGGACGAGATGGTGGAAGGCGCTGGCAGCAAGGAGGCTGCACTGCAGGTGGCATCTCACGGGGATCAGCGGACGGTGGAGGCGTTGGATTTGCGCTGGAGCGACATGCACCGCCTGCTGGAGCGTACACGCGCCCTCACATCTCCACCGACAGAACGGCACCCGCAACGGGAGAAGATGGAGGTCTTTACAGGTATTGCCGTGTATCTGCGTACACTCGCCACCGGGCGACGCTACGGCGGCGACAAGGAAGAGGTGGAGGCGATGGGAAGCACAACTCCGGCTGAATCACGGGAGCAGGCTTTATTTGCCACCGGCTACGGACTGGACGTGTGGGCGCGAATCTTCGAGCTCGTGCAGGAGGTTCGCCACGACATGGAGAAGTTCATCACGGACAACGCGGCTCACCACGTGGAGCCGGAGTTTGAGTGCTGGGAAGCGCTGCTCGTCACGCTTCGCTGCATCCTGGACTTCTGCGTACTGCTGACGCAGGAGCAGGGCAAGGAGAAGCGGGCAGCGGTGGGAGAACTCTTTGAGAGTGCAATGAAGCTGCGCAACGAGCTTGTGGAGGAGAGTCGCACGCGATTCGGTGGTAGGATGCGGATTTTGTGGCTGCAGGAGGCGTAAGGGCAGAGAGGCAGCGGAGAAGGGAAGTGATGGGACAAAAAAAGACAAAAAGAGGAGAGAGAAAAAAAAGGGGGAGAGAGAGAGAGAAGCTTGTGTCTATTGAGGTGAGACGCTGGTGTGTGCATCGGTGCATGCAATCACACGGCGGCGCCATGGCGGAGGCACTGTGGTTATTTTTTTTCTTTGGATTTTTCTTCTCTTGTCGTCTTTCATGCGGTGTATGTGCGAGAGAGTACGAGAGGGCGATAGGCATGGCTTCTGGACGGCTCCCGTGGCGAGGAGGACGCTCCGCGGACGTTCCGCCGCTGGACCTTGGGGGGCCGCTCATGCTACAGTTCATGCAGTACCTCCCGCTGGTCATGAGGCTGCTGACGCACCTGCCAGGCTTCCTTGCCGGCTTCACCCTTGTCTGCCTCTTCTTTGCCGTCGTTGGGCGCGACGCACTTCAGAATGAGTACGCACCGGTGGCGGGCTTTCACGTTGCGGCGCTGCTGCTGCTGCGGGAGCTTGTCGGGCCGTGGCGTGAGGGCAAAGTTCAGGCTGACTTTGTGCGGCAGCGACTGGCGGCGCAGCGCTCCTTCGCGGACGACGTGCAGCTGCAGTGGCGTGAGGCGCTGGACTGAGACTGCGGAGGCGTGTGGGATGTCAACCAAAAGGGAGACGAGGATAATGAATGGTGCGCCTTCGCACCCGTCATGGGTTGTTTGTCTGTCTGTATGTTCTCTGTCTCGTCCCGCACTCCCCTTTCTACATAATTTATTTGCTTTTGTGCCTCTGCCATTGTGTGGTGTGGGCTAGAGTCATCACAGATACACATACACAAACCCAGTGAGAGCCCCAGTAGATTTTTTCTTGACAAGGCGCCGAACATCGAACACAACGGGGAAGCAACACACACACACACACGCACACACACACACATTTACACATTTACGCACACAAGCGGAGAAAAGAAGGGCATTGCAGCAATGCGGGATGCAGGAGTCATGACGAACTTCATCGTTTGTGTCGCACTTTTCCTGTTGGCTACCGCTGCTTTCGCCTCAGGTGAGGTGTGGCAGACTGACTCCGTGATGACGGTGCAGGTGCGGTACAACACGACAGGCGAGACATTTTCCTCCACGGAGGGACCGTTGTTTGGCCCCGTAGCTGCCACGGTGAGGGTGAACAACTCCTTCCTGCAAACAGGTTGGGACGTTGTGTCGGCGGAGGCGGCGGAGGCGTTTCTGCACTCTGGACCCGCTGAGGCGAGGACCGAGCAGCTGCGACTGGCCTACCAGGCTATGGGGTACGGCGAGGGGTATGCCACGCAGCAGCGCATGGAGGAGACGCTTAATAACACGTTCTTTGGTGAAAACGGCCTCAGGGCAGTGTTGGAGGGCAGCCCAGAGGCTGTGAAGTGGATGGATGAGCACCTGGCGTACATGGACGGCAGTGAAGCGGCCAGCGACGCCTACGGGCAACAGCTGAAGAATCTGCTGGCTGTTCTTGACGGCCTCGTGGCGGGGTACAACGACCGTGTAGGGAAGCGCGGGCCGCTGTTGAACCGTACATGGCTGTTTTATTTGAACTTTCAGAATGAGATGGGTGACGTCATCAGGGCAGTGTCACCCAGAAAAACTGTTGCCCGGCTACAGAAGCAAAGCCCGCGAGTTTTGCTGGACCTGCACTGCTCCGCACTGGTGAAGGTGACACCGTACGACATCTTCTTCTCACATGCCACATGGAACTCCTTCAACAGCATGATGCGGCAGTACAAGACGTACCGTGTGGGGCACCGCTCAGTCACCATGTCCTCCTATCCCGGCTTCATCCACAGCGTTGATGACTGGTATATGACGCATGCACGGCTGGCGGTCATGGAGACAACCAATGGTATCTCAAATATGAGCCTGTACGAGCACCTCTTCCCCTACACCGTCTCTGCGTTTTTGCGGGTGATGATTGCCAACTTTCTCGCCACCTCCAGCCCCTCGTGGGTGGAGTACTTCTCACGCAACAACAGCGGCACGTACAACAACCAGTGGATGGTGCTCAACATGGGAACAGTGACGAATCCCAAGACGCCGATGCCTGCCAACACATTTTGGGTGGCGGAGCAGTTGCCGGGCTCCGCATACCCGCTTGGTGTGACCGCAGCTGACATGACAGAGCACCTCAACAAGCATGGCTACTGGGCGAGCTACAACATACCGTATTTTGAGAATGTCTACAACGTCTCTGGCTACCCGGACATGGTGGCGAAGTATGGAGAGTACTTTTCCCACACACTGACCGCGCGGGCGCAGATCTTTAAGCGCGAGCACAGTGCTGTGGTTGACCTCGAAGGCATGAAACGACTCATACGGTACAACAACTACAGGGAGGACGAACTATCCCGCATTCAAAACTGCGAAGGGGCCGGTACGAATAACACGTGCGTGCCGCCGTACAGTGCCATGTTGGCAATTGCTTCACGCGGCGATCTGAACCCACCAGGCAATGCAACAAACTACGGCCCGCTTTACAAGTACCTCGGTCGTCGCGACCACGGCGCAACCGATGCGAAAATTGCCTCCTGGAGTGGGATGGTGCTGGACCCCGGTCACTACACCGCCCACGTCGTGTGCGGCCCCACAAACGACCAGCAACCCACATTTTTCTGGCAGGATGGCATGTTCACACCGATGCCTCAGAAGGTCGGTCTACCGACGGTGTTCAACTTCAGCTTTGTGACATATATGACCGATGTTTTTCAGAGTGGCTCAGACGAAGAGGATGTGCGTAATAAATGGATTGGCATTGGAATCGGGATTGGAGCGGCCGTGTTGGCTCTCACTTCCGTTGCAATTGTCGTCTCTCGCGCACGGCGCCGCGCCAAGGACCTGAGCGAGGACCTCCTCCTCGCCTAGTGAGACCGCAGTTCACACATGTGACGACTTTCCCGCGCTGGATGTGCACGGTAGCAAGTAAGAAAGAAGCATTTACACACGTATTTATCTAGTAGTCTCTATTTTATCTTACGTATATAATATATATTTGCATGCAAGTTTAAAATTAATCAAAACGGGTAGTCATGCGTGATCACAAACATCTGGCAAACGAACAGGTGAAAGTGACGAAGAAGGAGGACAAGACGGGGGGGATACCCATCAAAACGAGCCAAAAATAAAAAGGATAGAAATATGTGGGTGTTCACACCCCCCAGAGTGATATGTAGGGCCATGTGAGGTAGGATGCGTCGTGGTGGGGAGAGCAACAGTCGTTTCCCCGTCTTGGCATGGCATATTGTCTTTTTTTTTTTGCTCTTTTTTTTTATTTCAGTGGATTATTTTTCGAGAAATGCGTGTGTTTATGTTATGTTTGTATCGAAGGAAGACGCTGGAGGGGGGTATATGCGCCCCGCCGCTGTTGTGGTGTGGATGCCACAGAGGCACGTAAGCGGTTGAATGAGGTGGAATTGGATATTGACGTCGGATACGAAACTTTACGGTGCTGCCAATGGGCGAGGCACGCTCACGCCTCACTCCATCTGAAGTCTTCTTCACCCTTCACTCACCAGCACATCCCACGGCTGCGGCTGGCTGGCCCGTCTCCAGTTTATTTGCCGCATTGTAGGGATATGTCTTTTTGGCCAGATGGTTTTTCTCTTACTTTTTACTGGGGTGTTTTAATGATGCTTCTGATGCTGGTGCTTAGATCTTCTGTTGTGTACGTGCAGCAGTGGTGGAGGCGTTGGCGTATTTGACTTTTTCCCCCCTTTGTTTTGTTTTCTTTGGGGCTCCACATGGTGCGTGACATGTCACCTGAATGACTCCGCGGCGCAAGCGCCGTAGAAGAGCTCTTTTCTCTCTGTGACTCCCCCCCTGCGGATCTCAGGGAGGGGTGGTGTGAATTCATTGTGGCACTGTGGAGAGCGGAGGGGTATTGCGGGACGATGTTGTTTTCGCTGGACGGGTTGCTGGTGAAGGGGAAAGAGGAACCGTTCTTAAGTGTGGCAGAGGGGCAGCAACTGGTCGCCCTATACCGTCTGTTTCACCGCTTGCACCACTTGCAGGCTGTGCAGGGCGCCGGCGTGGGGCACACTACGGCGGTGCAGCGTGTGTCCTTCCCAGCATTTCTTCGTCCCGTTATCGCCCACCCAGCGGCGGTGACAACGACGGCGGGGACGGAGGAGGGTGGGGACAACGTGAAAGCCGGGGCCCTGGACGCCATCAAGGGAGCATGCGACTACGACCTGGAGGGGCTTGCCGGCGATGGGGGCAATCACGAGGCTAACAACAACATGAAATACGACGCCACTGATTGCACCAACACGAATAGAGCAGCAAACGGCATGGAGGAGGTGCATGTGCGGGCGTCACTGTCTTCTGGCGGTGGCGTAAACGCGTCAAGAGGGCATGGTAGTGCTGCAGAGGCAGTCGCACTTCAAATATGCACCTCTCGGCGGAAGTTGTTTTGCGTTCAGCGGCGTGTGCCTGAAACGAATGACGCGGTCTTTTTTTGCGGCGCAACGACGGTGTAGGCGTCCGTATGATGTGGACACCCTCGGCGCGGGGATGCCATGGGCCATGTAGGGCGAGGGCAATATCACACAATCACGTCAAGCAGAAGCAGACGAAAAGCGGCAAGATTTCGTAGGAAGAAGTGGACGCCGGCGACAAGAACGATGCCGGTAACGGTGGATACCGCAGAACAACCCTAACAGTTTGTTTGTATGCGTGTTTGTTTTTATTTCGTTTTCCTTCTCTGTATGTGTGCAGATCTTTGTATGCAGATATCTGCGTCCAAGTGTGTTTGTGCGTGTTTCAACGTTTTCTGCGATAACTTTCATAGTTGATTTTATCACTCTTTCTCTCTCTGTCTTCATTCCTCTATCACTGTTGAGAATGGGGTGACGGTTCTCCTTCACATGGTGACTTGTTCTTTCCCGTTTTTTTTTTTTTTTTTTTTTTTACTACGACGTTCGGGCTGCGTATGCGCCCAGAGGCTGGAAGGAAGCGATGAGCCTTACAAACTACATGTCCAGCATCCTGTCCGAGGTGCAGCAGTTTGGCCAGGCGTACGTGGACTCGCTTGTTGCCCCAAGGGACAAAAAGGACCACGAACCGCCCGGCACCACGGCACCGCCGCTGCCGCTTTCTGCATCCACACATAGAGCACGCGGCGATTCCAGCGCCGAACACGGGCGGAACTTCAACAGCAGCATCACCAGTAGTAATACGCATTCAGTGCAACCCTGCGGGGTCGTGGCGGCTGCCCATGATAAGGGGCGCGGCGTGCAGCACCAGCCTGGTGCGCTAGCAGGGCTGCAACACGCGCCTGCAGAAAGTTTGGGGCAGCACGAGGAGCTCTTGCGGCCCGTCGAGTCGGTCACTGAGGGACTTGCTTCCTCCTTATCTTCCAGTGCTCCTCTGGAGACAGTGGCGCCGCCGGGGGTGAGAAGGGTCTCGCTTCGAAAGCATGCAGTGAAGGCAGGGAGGGCACCCCGCTCAAAGTTTGGTGCTGTCAGAATAGAGCCGGAGCCTGGAACGGCGAACGTCACCCAGCCAGCTGCTGGCGCCACTTCAGCTTCTGTCGACGCGTCACCCCAGCAGTCGGAAGGTGAAAACGCAGGCGGTTCGTCTCAGCTGGAAGAGAAACCTGTAGCAACTGTTGTCGAGGTCGCCTCTGGTGTGGCGCCGCTGGGTTGGGGGCGGTGGCCCCAAAGTATCCAGCAGCTGCTCGGTACCAATTTAGAAAGGCGGAGGCCACCTGCGGGCTCGGAGTGGGCGCAAGACGCCCTCTCTCACTTTGCGATGAAGGTGGCAGTTGAGACTCTCGTCCTTGCCGCAAGGGATCCAGTGCCTTCGACAGCGTCCGTGTTGTCATCCTCCGTGGCGCCGCCCTCTGAAGGCGCCTGGCGCCACACTGATGCGGAGCTTCGACGCTCCGTGAGACGTGCCATACCCCGCGAGGTATTTGGGTTGTACGCCTCCGATTACGACAATGTCACTGCGGCCAATTTATTGGTGCATCCAGGAAACGTAGTCTATTCGAGTGGCCGCTGCATGATAACGTTGCAGAAGGCCCTGCATGGATCGCTGGCGGCAGCACGGCGTTGGTATGATGAGCGTCGCACTCAGCCCTTGTCGGTGCCGCTGCTGCCATCAGCGTCCGGTTTGGTTGTGGACTGTGGGATTTCAGCGTTTATGACACTGTGTTTTGTCCCGCTACTGCGCACTGGAATGGAACAGATTCAAGACGGGACGCTGTGGCATGCACCCCTGCCCGAGCAAAGACTGCAGCTTGAGCGGACGGCGCTGGATGTGTGGGTGAGGGAGGTGATGGAGCTCTTCTGTGAGGTGTTTCTTGAGAGGGAGGCGGCTGAGTTTGGGCGCTCCGGACGTGCTGATGGCTGTGGAATCCCCTCTTCAGAGTTGGATGCCGTGGAAAACATGATGCGCGACGGCACGGCCGCCCTGTGGCTAATGCGAGAGGCGATGGTGCTGACGTTGCTGCTGCTTTGGGCTCTGCAGTTCTGCACCTTGTGAAGGCGTCCAAAACATCTGAAATGGCTGGACAGTGTGAGAGGGGTGAAGGAAAAGAGAAGACGGAGAGATCCCTGCAGGATGTGATGGGCGGTATGGATCAATGTTTCACGACCCCGTGCATGCTATTTATTATTGTTGTTTTTGCCTGATTGTTTGCTCTCGTTGTTGGCGTTGTCTGCCGTGTTTTTATGCATTGGCTTTTTTTGGTTTTGTTCGTTGATGTCGTGCCTCGCCTCCACACATACGCACGCACACGAGGGGGAGCAGGGTGCCGATTTACTTTTGCCTATTGGCGTTGTTTTATTTCCTTTCGCCCCGTCTTCTTCTTGACCTCCCTCCTGAAAGTAGTCTGTGGACGCCCACACAGCAAGGGCGTGTGGAGTTGAGGGTGGCGGCGATGTTTGCCTGCCTGCGCGGCATTCACGAGCAGCGCACCGCGCCACCGTCGAAGTTTGGTGCACTGCCGTCGTCACAGATGCAGCAGCGGCTGCAGCACGCCGCGTTTGCCGCAGTTGCATCGAGCGAGCATCACTTCACCCAACTGCACGAGCAGCGAGAAAAAAAGGCAGCAGATGGCATGTCGGCAGAACGGCGCCTGACGCACTTTATCGCCCACGCCGTGCAGGACCACCTACGCGCTGTCGCCTTTGAGGAGGCAGCAGAAGCGGCTGCGGCGGAATGCCAGGGCAGGCCCGCTGCAACAGTCCAGGCAGCACCTATGAGCAATGCGGAGGACGTTGTCCAGCTCCTCTGGATGAACCGAACCATGGCTCTTGGCGCCACGGTCTCCGTGTTGGCAGGCGACTGCTCCTCCAACGAGGCGCCGCTGACGGCTGCCCGGCAGCCATTGGAAAGGCAGGCGCCTGATGTGCAGAAAACTATACGCCACCTGCGGGAGTCGTCTCCGGCGCTCTTGGCCGTCCTGTTGGATGGATCGGCGGTTGCTGCCAGTGCCCCGCCGGTGGTCGACGACGGCGACAACACTGCGGGGGCCGTGCCAGACTCTCGTCGTCGTATTCCTCACGGCACGGTGGGGGCCAAGAGACCACGTGCGGGTGCGGAGGAGGAGGTGGACGTGCAAGGGTCGCAGCCGAACACGGGATTGCACTTCACACTAAAAGTCGACGGCAGCCTGCTTCGCTCCCGACAGAACGAACGAGCACTGCCGACGGCCAGCCCATCTTGGGGGAACCCGGTCAACAACACCAGCTTTCAGCAACAGCTGCCTGGCCCGCATCGACAGCTCGGGGCCTCCGTTGAGGGTGATATTCCTTTTCCGGCTGAGCCTCACGCCAAGGGTCAAATGAAACTTAACCTCGACGGCTACGGGAAGCTCTCTTTGGCGCAGCCACTCGTCACACCTTCGCGTGCGCCGGGTTTAGCGTCCGCGGCTCTGTCAATTACTGCTGGCGGTGGCGCGCCGCACTCGCAGCCCTCGTTTGCCTCGCAACCGACTGCGTCTCCGTCATACGCTGTCGCACAGAGAACGTGTCCGTCTCGTGGACGATGGCCGATGACCGAGAGCTGCGAAAACACTGCTGCCGAAGGAGCCAAGCATGGCGTAAATGCAAGAGAACTGCGTGGTGGAATTTGCGCCGGGTTTTCGAAAAAGCGTGAGAATGAGAATGTGGAGGCGACTGCTAATGTTGGCGGGCAGAGCAGCGGTGGCTTCGTCACCGCGGGTGAGCAGCTGGTGGCGGATGTGCGGGCTGGAAGAGCTGCGCCCTCGGGTCTCTCACTACAACGCCGGGCACCTGCGCTTGGCCTGCGGCGTTCCGGCTTCACCCCTCCGTTTCAGCAGCAGCGACAGCAGACACCGCCTCCAAGGAGTGATGGAGCGAACGCGGCCACCAGCGTAGCTGCTACTGTGCCCGTCGGCGATGTACTGAGTTCCATTCACAAGCACGCTTCGAAGGGGTCCCATGAATCTACAACGCGAGGGACGCGTGATGATCATGGCACAGCACGAAACCGTGACGACAGTGACAGTGACCAAGGTGAGTTTCCGGCATCGCTGCTTCTTGCAGATGGGTCGGTGCCGCCCATTTTGCGGCCCCTCGATCCAAAGCTTGTGACGCAGGTGGCGATGGAAATATTGGAGTATGGGGCGGGAGCCGCCAACGTGGGCTGGGACGACATTGCCGGCCTTGAACATGCGAAGCGGAGCGTGGAGGAGGCAATTGTGTGGCCGCTGCGCCGACCTGACCTTTTCGTAGGCCTCCGTGATCCTCCGCGCGGGCTACTGCTGTTTGGTCCACCAGGAACTGGGAAGACGATGATCGCTCGAGCCATCGCCAATCGTGCGCAGTGCACGTTTTTGAACATCAGCGCCTCTTCGCTAATGTCAAAGTGGATGGGCGACGGGGAAAAATTGGTGCGGTGCCTCTTTGCGGTGGCTGTGGTGAAGCAGCCAAGCGTCATATTTATTGACGAGATTGACTCCCTGCTCTCTGTGCGGGGCGAGGGTGAGATGGATTCCGTGCGACGCATCAAGACGGAATTTCTCGTGCAGCTTGATGGAGTGGCGACCGACCGTGGCGACCGCGTCCTCCTCATTGGCGCCACCAATCGCCCTGACGAGCTGGATGAGGCCGCGCGACGCCGAATGGAAAAGCGACTGTACATTCCGCTCCCCGACGGCCCGGCACGCAGCGAGCTTGTCAAGCGACTCCTTCACACGATGGAGCTACAGCAGCAGCTGCAGCTGCATGCCGCAGAGGAGGGAAACACAGAGAAAAATGCGAGATGTGTCGTCCACGCGTTAGATGAAAAGGACATTGCGGAGGTCTCAGCCTCCACCGCAGGGTACTCGGGGGCCGACCTCAAGCAGGTGTGCCGTGAGGCGGCGATGGGACCACTGCGGGAGGTCACGATGCGCCTCACCGATGTCTCCCTCAGTGAGTTGCGGCCAATTCAACGAAAAGACTTTGTTCAGGCGTTGAGGCGCATCCGTCCAAGTGTAGGCGCCTCCGAGGTGAGGCGGTACGTGGAGTGGAACACACAATTTGGCTCCTTTGCTTCGCAAGGGGAAGACACCGCAGAGGAGGCGGAGGAGAAAAGGACTCCGTGACAGCGGTGCGGTAGCTCAAGCGTCATGCCCACAAGCGGAGGCGGGGGACGTTGTGCATCAACCCCTGTAGACACGCGTGGCTTCGTCCTTGTCGTATGTCGTCCCAGCTCTTTTGTTTCTCTGTTCGTTTGTTTTGTGTTTTGTGTCTCTTTACTTTTCTTTGCGTTGTTGTTGGGCTTTGTTTTCCCCCTTTGTGCGTGGCTCCCGTCTTTCCGCATGTGTCTACGTTTCCCTCCTTTTCCCCCCACCCCCCCTTCTCTTCACGTGCCCTGCGGAAAAGCTGCATTGATTTCCGCTGCCATACCACACCAGTCATTGCGAGGAGGAGCACATGTCTACGACGTCAAATAGCCTTACCGACTACGGTGTACCCTACCCGGAGCCCACGCCCGAGCAGCGGCGCTACGTCATCTTCCTTGACGAGAAGGGCGAACAGAAGGAGCTAGATGACTATAAGGTGCAGCTTATCCCTGGGCGTGTCATGGACACAGACCCCGTCAACGTGTACTCCATTGAGGGAAACGTGCAGGAGATGCGCATATCCGGCTGGGGCTACCCCTACTACGTGGTAAATGCGGGCTCGACGACGAGTACGGAGGTGGGGGTTCTGCCGGGAACTCCGTCGGTACAGCAATTTGTCACCCTGACGGCTAGACCGTTCATCCGCTACAACAGCAGGCTGCCGGTGGTGGTATACGTGCCGAAGCAGCTGGAGCTTCACTACCGCGTATGGGCGCCAGTGGCACCCACAAAGGAACACGCCGTGGAGAGGTAAGTTGTTGTACTCATCACGACGGAGGAAGGAGAAGGATAGTAAAAAAAAAAAAAAGTAATGAGCACATGTAATTTTATTGGGGAGTGAGGATGTTTTTCGTCCTTTCACGTTACTTTGTTTTCTCCTCCGGTTTTACGTGTGCCGGATTTGAGCTGCATGATGTGATGTTGACCTCCTGTTGCTGTCGCTGCCTACGTTCTGGTTGCAGCGCCAAAAAGTCGTGGCAGGGCCGTGTACTACCGGGAGTTGGCGAACGCCGTACACCAACTAATACGCATATATATATATATGATGTATCTTTATGTAGGTTAGTTGAATGAGAGTGTGTGGGGTTTTCTTTTTTTGTTGTTTTTGTTGTTGTTGTTGTTGTTGTAGTTTTTTTTTTTTTTTTGCTCCGCTAGGCCCTTGGGTGGTGTTGTCAAGACGGTTAGGCTCGCCCACATGCGTGGGTGTGTGTACGTTGTGAGCGACGTGTCAGTTGCTGGTGCGTGCTTTTCCCGCCTGTCTTACGAAATGGCTGGCTGCAACCATCACGGCTTCTTTCTTTTTGCTTCTGCGTTTTCTTTTTCTTCTTGAACAAGAGCTGCACTCCAGGAGGAGGACCGGGGGGTGGCGGCGGCGGCGGAAAAGGTAGCGTAGGGGGCGTCGGTGCGAGGGCAACGCAACCGGGAGTTCCTGTGCTCCCGCCTCCTGTCTGACAGCGCGGCGGGAAGGAACAAGTGCGGCGGCGCCATCCAAACCATCTGCCCCCCGCGACACGCAAAGTTTATCTCACACACATACACAGAGCTTTTTATATATATATATATATATATATATCATATTACTGTGCGTACACACCTGCTTACACGTGCATATATAATTGTATACATATATACAGATATAGGTGTGCCTCTTTGCTAGGATACACCGGCGCAAGTGAGAAGAGACAAGAGACGCAGCGCGAGCAGAGAAATAATTGGGCGAGTGTGAAAGTGACAGAAGGAGAAACGAGGTGAAAAAAAAAACCGACAGACAACCACGTGGGTAAACGACTGTGGTCTTTCTAGTGGAGAAGTGCAGTGAAATCCACATATAGCTATCAATATATATATATATATATATATATATATATAATGCCTGAGCTGAAAGGGGGGGGCAACGGCGTCGCATCCACCAGACAGCGTGAAGGAGGAACTTCGCTCTGATCCATTGAGCTGCGAAGGAGGCGGCGCGGCGTACAGTGGTAGTAGCCCGAACTTGTTCAAGGGAGGTCCGATTTTGACCTGGGGTAGTATGGACGCCCACCAGACGGGATCGACGCCCCCCTCCTCTGAGACTGTCATAGGCCTTCGTGACGAGCTCTCCTTTTCCTTCAAGAGCCTGGGCGGGGGGGAGGGGGACGACGACAAGGACTCTCACCGCCTCATGGGTTGGAAGTGCGGGGAGCTGGAGTCCGAATTCCCCCGTTCTGCAGTGGCGAGCGATGGGGCGGAGGTGCGGGTGAGTCGTGCTGCTGACAGGAGGGGGTCGAAGGAAACGGAACCTTCAAAGGAGGAAAAACGGTTGGCGCTTCTGCAGAGCATACATGAACTTTCCCCCACAACGTTGGAAGGCTCGCAGCGTGAGGCAGGCTTTCTTCTCCCTCTCATGGCAAGGCCGGCAGGTGGAGGAGGATCCATGGCGCAAGCCCCATCTTGTGGGCGATCTGTGTCCCAGATGTCTGCTGATGAGAGATCCGACCCTGTTGTTTCGCCGCTGTACGCCCGCTCACGTCAGACCCACGTCATGCCTGTTCCGAAGCACTGGAGTGTATTTTACCCTGACGGTATCGACAGTCAGCCACCTCTTCTGCTGCACTATTTGTTGCTTGGTGGTTGGCGCACGGTGGCGGGTGGGTGGGACTACTTTAGCCACCGCCGTCTGCAGGATGGGGAGGTTGTTGGGCATCAGGTGCGGTGGCTTCATAATGCCCAACCACGGGATCGCTTCGTTTTTGTTGTTTTCCCTGTGGAGCCAAAATCCGAAGACGCTTCCGTGGGACGGTGGCAAAAATTTCGTGACCAAATTTACGGCCCACCCCCGGCCTTTGCCTACAATAAGGGAAAGTTGTTCAAGAGGCCACCGTTTGGCTCCGCAGGGGCTGTTTTAACGAAGTCGAGAAAAAGCACCTCACTCTCACCGCTGCTGGTGCAGGACGAGGACCTCTCCAGCCCTACTTTAGAGCCGCCGCGACACGGACGCGAGGAGAGGCAGGAACCAGGGCAAGCCAGCACCACGCACAGCGGCAGTGGCAATGGTGGTGCAGCAAAAACTGTGGGAGTGGAAGTTATTGAGGTGAGACACGAGGATGTCACCGCGACAGACTACGGCCCACGCCTCTCATGTAGTAGGTTCGCCATTGAGGCGAAGGCGGTGTACGCCTATTACTTCGCCACCATAGAGGAGGCATTTGCGTACTACGACTGCTTGGACGATCTTTGCCTGATGGAGGAGCAAATACGACGCGGGATAACGAACCTAGTGCCGTTTCACCACAAAGGAGGTCATTGCAGGAGCTGTCGAGACGGTCCTTTTGTCGGCTTTGAGCACGTCTACGGGGGAACTAGCGTGGTGCAGGCAACGATGGGAGCGACAACCCCGAGGCCACAAACTAGTGGGGTGAGCATGGGTGAAGAAACGCCGACGACGACGTGCAGGGAAGAGGTGATAGAATCACTTTTCACTACAATTATGGACGAAAGTGCCGCAACCACCGACGAAGAAACGAAGAAGCGGACTTCTTGGAACGAGGCCCAGGTGATGTGCCCCCGCTCACCGGAACCTTTGCGGCTGCCTGCGGACATCCAACAGCTCGGGTGTCAGCAGCAATACTGCCAGTTAAAACGAAATTCACTTCCTCTAAACGCCGCTGCCGTGTGGAACGATGCATCCCATATGGACTTGCATTACCCCAGTCACCGAGGCATCTTTACCCCGTTGGCTTCACACGCAACATCTGCTCAAAGCCGTGCCCCCGTTGGTGAGCCCAGGATTCGCCCCCGTCTGTTGCCTACGCTTACCACGGCTCATTTTGATACCATTGTAACCGTGTACTCGGAGGATCCAAGCTTCAATGCGGTTTTGCGGGAGGTTTTGATGCCAGAGCCTGGAACCCATCCTTACACGGTGTCCCTTAAAGAGCAGCGTCGCATGCTTTCCATGTACGAAACAGGGATGCCGGCTTGGACAATCTTTCTCGCCTCAACTGGGTTGCCGTACCGCCGCGTATTTCGTCTCATTTTTGTGGGACTGGTAAACATCTGGCCTCTTATCTCTCTCTTTGTGGGGTTGTACGATCTCTACAAGCATTTACCACAGATGAAAACGTTTGTGTCCACCACCTTGGCCCCATTACTAGAGTGGATTGACGAACACTTTACGTTCCGTGTATCCATGTTGGTAACGTACATCATCTCGGTTGGTGTTACGGTGGCTGCTTCCTTGACAAGTTTTATGTCGCAATTTTACATCCTGGAAGTAACCCTGTACCCCCTACGCCTTCTTGCCGGATTCCTGCAAACACCCTTTGCCCTGTTGTTTGAGGTGCTGTGGTCTGTCATCTTCATTGTTGGTTCCTTCATCCGACTACTCTTTCTGACGCTAAAAATGGTCTTTGTGGGGCCCTTTCTCCTCGTCACGCACGTTGCCTCCTGGGAGTTTGGCAGCGCCCCTGTGCTCCCCGCTGCGGTGGAGGGGACATCACTGATCATGAAGTGGTGGCGAGCCTGGCAGGAATTCTGGGTTACGGTAGCGTCGCCGGTAAAGAACCTGGCAAAGGCGTGGTACGACAGCGTGGTGCATGTCGCCGTGAGCGCGGCTCGGCGAGAGGCCTCCATTCGCCGTTGGTACACACCGAAGCTCAGCTACGTGCTTGCCTTTGTGGCAAAAGTGCGGGAGGTGTGTGTGGTGAATCTTGCCATTTGGTGGCAGATGTGCGGACCCGGGTGGGGGCTGTGGCTGATGAACATGGTTTTTCTTGCCTACTTGCTGTGTCTGCTGCTCATGCCCAAAAGCGGCGACGCCGTTCCCCCGTATGCCCTCTTTAACGCTCACCCCACCCCCCTGCAAGGCGCCTGTGGCAGTGCTGCAGGGACCTGTACGACCCCTGCGCCGGTGGTAGTGGGAGATGGCGGGGCTCCGCTGCGAGAGAAAGCCCCGCTGTTCATTGAGGCGGCGGGAGACGCCGGTGATTTGCCACTCGACAACGGCAACGGTTTCGATGCCCTGTACTTTGCATGGGAGACACTCATTGCGGTGTGGGTTCAATTGCCGTGGTAACACGCCTGCAGAAGAAGAGAAGAAAAGAAAAAAGTAAAACAAGTCATATTTACTGTTGCATGCACTTTTTTATTTACTCACTTTGTCTCTTCATGGGTTGTTATTTCTCTACTTCTCCCGGTTCCTTTCCACAATTTTGTTGCTCGTGTCGCATGCACGACGCCACGCTGCACTTGGACAGGGCGAACAAAATGGAACGACTATGCCGTCTTTGCTGGACGCCCAGATTCTTTGTTTTCTTTTTTGCTTGCTTTGTCTCTTTTTTTCTCTTCATTATGCTGAATGCCGGGCAACATGTATGTGCGCCTGTTTGGCCCTCACCCTCAGGTATCCTCTCTCTTTTGATATATATATATATGTCGTTGCCCTTCAAGGCTGCATGGGGGCGTGTGGTGGTGACGGAAAGAGAAGCGAAAAACCAACAACAACATTGTCGGTGTTCTGCTTGTTTTCTCGAGTCATCCTTCTTGTTGTTGTTAACCCTCTGTTTTTTTTTTTTTACTCATTTGTTTGTTTCTTTTTGTTACCCCGCCGCCGTGGTGCGAGGGATACTGCACTGGGTATTCACTGCATTGATGTAAACAGCGGCTACCACCCACATCCATCCATTCCTGGCGGCTGTGATTTGTGGTTGTGTTGTGCGGCTCACCTTACTTGGTGCGTGTGTCTGTGTGCGCTGCTGCTGTTCTGTATTTTCCCACCCACCCACCCACCCCCACGATGGTATCTCTCATGGCTCCCTGCCTCCATTCTCTCTTTTTGTCTCTTTTTGCGCTTCTCGGGTCGCGAGAAGAAAGGGGGCAAGGTCGAGGGCTGTGCGACGTAGGAACGCGAAGGCAACGGCGGCGAATACGTGCGTACGTGTGGGTGGCTGTCTTGTTCCCTGAGCTCACGCAGCAGGCGGAACGGTGAGTTGTAACGCGGTGTTGCTCGTCTGCGTGTCTCGGTGTGTGTGTGTCTGCGTCGGAGCGGTCCCCACGAGAGAGGAGGGCAGAAAAGATGCTCGATGAGGACCCGATGGTACTGAAAAAGAAGCAGTCCGTGATTGACGTGGGGCAGCGGTCGCAGCTGGACCTGGTGCACGGGGAGATCCGCCGCAACAAGGAGGTGCTGACGACCCTGCGCCTGGAGAATGCCCAGCTGCAGCTCGCAGTGCGGCAGGTCGCTCGCGGCCAGCGCCGGGTTACGAGTGAGGAGTACTTCCGTAGGGAGGAGGAGCAGCTGCACAACAAACTTTGTGTGCTGAAGCGTAGCCTGAACAGCGTGACGGGCAAGAAGGAGGAGCTGGCACGGGAGATTGCGCGCACGATAGAGGAGACCAGCTTCATCATGAAGGAGGGTGGCCCAATCGTGGATGAGAACTCCGCCGTGGGGCAGAAGATCCGCGCCCTGGAGAACCGCCTTGACAAGTGCCTCATCAAACACAACGAGGTGAACGCCATCCGTCGCACGTACGAGACCCTTCTGGAGCGGTTGCAGCAGGAGCAGTCTGGGTTTGACACCCAGCTTGCCGCCATGGAAAAGACGCTGCAGTGCAAGGAGAAGGATCTGGCCGAGTTGAATAGTGTGGCGAGTGAGGCCACGAAGGGCAGAGACGCGGCAAAGGCGGAGGTGCAGCGGCTGCAGTTGCACCTCACACGGGAGCGACGAGCACACAAGAAGGACATCACCGAACGACGCGCATTTGTGACGTCAAAGCGGGAGCATTTGGAGAGGCACTCACGCATGCTGCATGAAAAGATTGAGAAGGGGAATGAGCGTCGCCTGCGCGCACGACTGGCGCTTAGTAATACGCAAAAGAAGAAGAGTCGTATGAACGCGCAGAAGCAACTCCGGCCAGAGGAACTAGAGCAGCAGATGCGGCAGCGCGAACTGTACAACCGTCTGAAGGAGCTCACAATGAGCAGTAACGTCACCGATGTCATTTCAAAGCTAAAGGAACGCCGGGACGCCAATGCGCAACTGCTGGTCACCGTGAGGGAGGCGGAGTCGATGGACGTGCTTTTAAAGAATGAGCGGAAGAAACTGGAGGAAGAGTGGGAAAAGCTTCAGCAGCAGAATGGTGGGGTCTCCACGGCGTTGTTGCAGCAGCAGCAGCCGGGGGACGCTGGCATAGACGATGAGGTCTTTGCTAAGGGTGGCTCGACGGAAGCAGGAGACGCCTCATTGGCAAGCAAGGTTGAGCAGCGTGCGAGGATGCGTCGCCGCGTGCTTGAGGAGTTTGACTCCCACCTCTCCGATCGTCAGATCGAACTAGAGGCGGCACAGCAAATACAGGATTCCCTGGGGAAGATGCTGCTGGACGTCGACGCTGGGGTGCATCACCTTGCCGGAAAAATTGCCGCCGGGGATATGGCTGAGAGCACAGCACCGGTAACAGCGTCGTTTTCACGTTCCTCAATTACATCTGCGCTTATGCCCGCGCCCACGTCATGTGCCACGCGTGGTGAGGCCATAGTGGAGCTGCTGCGCTCCTGTGGGTCGAGGCTGCAGTCGATGCTCACAGAGATACGGGAGGGAGAGGTTGAGACGACCACGAAGCTCTTGGCTCATTGGCACGGGGCCATGCCCCAGTCAAACATTCGCGTGCGATTGGAGCCGCATGCCCCTCATGACGACAGTCACAATGTCGATGACATCTCCGATGACATGGCTGATGTCAATGGCCCGGGGCAGGTGTCAGGGAGCCTGGAGAAGGACCGCCGCATATCAGAGGGAGGGGGGGATGCCGTGTTTGGTGTTCGGAAGCGGATTGGTGTGTCTTCGGGCCGTGGTGCCTTCGACGACTTCCCAGAGAATGAAATCCATGACAGGCACGAACTGAAGATGATGTCCATCGCCACCGTGGAGCGGGAGCGCAAGAAGGCGAAGAAGCAGCTGCAGCAGAGTTCCAAGGAGGAGAGCCCATAACCTGAGAGCGTCTTGTTGTTGTTCTTTTCCGACCTGGCAATTGAAACGGGAAACGGAGGAGAGGCACCTGTCATTGCCTTTTTTGCGTGTTTCTGCTGTGTTTTTTTTTTGTGGCTGCATGGCCTTCTGCGGCGGGGACGGATTGTGTTGACGTTGTTGTTGCTTTTCTCTCTGCGTTGTTCCTGGATTGTGGTGGGTGAAGGAACAAAAGGAGGGTTGATGTTACTGTTGTTGGCGTGCGCGGCCTCCAGCTCCGGCGCAGCGGGGGGGGGGTGTGGGAGGGAAACCTGCAAGGGAGGAAGGGAGGAAGGAAGGAAAGAATGGAATGTATAAATTTAAGAGAAAATAAAAAAGGAAAAGGAGGGGGAAAAAAAAAACTATGTATGCTCGTCTGCTTCCACAGACAGACAGACAGACACATCTTTGCTCTCGGTCCATTATACATTGCATACCATATGTGTATGTGCCCATGCGTACAGTGTGTACGGTGGGGAAAAAAAACGGAGGAAAAAAGGAGGGAGAGAAGAAGAGAGAGAGAAAAGGGGGAGTGGGGAGGGGATTACGTGTACAGCACTGCGGATAGGGGAGGCATTATTGCTAGCGGTAGTGCTTTCCTGGCGAGGGGGGAGTTGCAAGGGGGCGGTGGTGTTGCTCCCTGTAGGCGCCACTGAGTGAAACACACCGCTTTCTTTCCCTCTCTACTCCCCACGTGTTTTGCCCAATATATATATATATATATATATGGTGGTTCTATGTATCCATCTGTTCGTCCCCGTCCCTCTTACCTACGTTACTCTTGGTATGGTATCTGTGTGTGTTTGTTGTTTTTTTCTTGCCGCCGTCACCCCATCGTTTTCTTGTTTACCCTCTTTGCGTGTGCGCGGTGTGTGTTTTGTGTGTCTTTCGGACATGCACGCATGTATGTATATGCGACTTATCGCCGGTGGTTACGGTGAATGTACAAACAAAGATGGAGCCGCGTTGACGGCAGCCAAAGCACGGAGCTGCAAGGGAGTGGAAGCGAAGAGACAAGACACACGCAAAAAAAAAGGAGGAAGGGGTGTGGGTATGGGTAGGCAGCCGCGGCCTCTCTGCCTGGCCCCTCTCCTCGTTGGTGGTCTTTGTCTCTTTGCCTGCTCTCGGCGCACGTGCGGCGGTGAGTGATGGGGTGAAGAAGGGTGACTCCACCAGAGCGTGGCCCACCAACCAGGAACGAAGGAAGGAACAACAAAAAACAACAAACTGTGGTTGCCTCTTTGCGTTTCTCTCTTTCTCTTTTCTGCCGCAGCACCTCGCGGGCTGTCAATATTCACGCGTACCTCAAAAGGAAGCCATAGATAGATATACTTATCTTGTTTGCTTGCATACGTGGAGAGGCGGGGCGGGACCTGGGCGTGTAGGCACAGCGGGGGGAGGAGGGGAGGGGAAGTTTTTTATTATTATTATTTGGCTTTTGCCGCAGCGGGATAAACCAGCAGGTACCCCTCGTTGTCTGTCCACGTTTTTTTTTATTCATTCCGCCACTCGCTGCCACAGCTCCGGGGCGACTCTTTTGGTGGGTGGGTGGTTTCTCCGATCCCTTTGCTTGGCCCATCGCTGTCATATGTGGAGTGCGCCAGACGAGGCGGGGCGCGACGGTTGTATTTCCCTCTTCGCCCACTCCTCAGCGGTGTCACGGCGGCTGTACCTCCTCGCGGCAGCCCTGTCGATCCCGCCAGACAGGCTGCTGCGCTACACAATTGAGGTGCAGCGCCGCGGGGCGCATCAGCACCACCGACGAGCGCAGCATGGCCGTCTTGGTGTAACTGCAGTCACGACCGTCGTCGCCGGCACATCGACAACTCGCCCTGAGGCAGGCATGACGGCAGAGACGGAGACCCCGCAGGAGTTCCCGCTCCTTCTGCACGGGATTCTCAGCGCCCTTGTGCTGCCTTTCTCAAACCTGGAGAGTTCCCCCGCGGTGTCTGCCACCGCCTCAACGAAGACAAAGACGATAGAGCCGGTGAAGACGTACATGAAGCAGGGTAGCGGCAAATCCTTATCGCGGCAGAAGGGCGGTGGGAGCCGCACAACGCCGGGGGCTGGTGGTACATCGGCGGTGTCGAAGGATGTCAACTCAGGGGGTTCACAACACGTCAACATGCACAAACACTTTGCGGCCCTCGAAGACATGGTTGTCTCCCAACGCGTCAGAGAGCCAGGCCCGAAGAGCCAGACGGGAATAAGTACCATCTTATTCAGCAGTAAACACACCACCACCACTACCACCAGCAACAGCGGCGGCAGCAGCACTAGTAGTACTAGCAGTAGCAGCAGCAGCAGTGGCTGCTGTAGCGACGATGTGGAGGCCTCCTCAGTGTCTGCTAGCTCGCCAATACACAAGGGAAAGGCAGAGAGCAGTGTCGCTGCACCGAAGAAAGCATCCAAAGCTGCACACTCTCATGTGTATGAGCTGCGTCAGACGCCACCCTTTCACCAGGAGGTAAGCATCGCGCAGCTCTTATCGGAGCTTGCAGAGCCCTTTTTTGCCTCCGGAGGCCATGCTATTGGTATGAGCAGTGGGAGTGGTGGGAGCGAGAGCAGAAGTAGTGATGTCGGGTATAGTATGGATCTTCAGCAATGTATGCGACTTATTCCACAGGAACTACGCACAGCCGCAGGCGTGTCACGTGTTAGTGAGTTATACCCGCCGTTTATGCCTCTGCTCCTAGAGGCCTTGTTGAAGGAGAGCGTGCATGAGAGCCCCTTTGGCCTTGCAGCCAGGTGTGTCGTTATGCGTTTAATAGAGCTATCGGCTCCAATATTTGTGTCAAGGTTCTTTAAGCAAGGGAGCGGTGCCTCCGTAGACGTTGGCAATAACGACAAGGAGGAGCAAGTGTGCCACGCCATGACGCTACGCGCTACGCAGCGCCTTGCAAACACGGCAGTCGCCCTCCTTGAGGTGATTGAGGACCCTGTGTGGGTGTTGGACCTCAGTGGCGCTCTCATCGCTAGTCAGCTCCTGCATCCCGGCGCGCTTAGGACTGTGCTACACCGCCGTGCACTGGACTTGGCCAAGCTTCCACCGCTGTGGAAGCCTACCGTGGCCCTCGCCTATTGTTTGGTGACCCAACACAGTTTACATGCTGCTGTGCGGGCAGAGGCGGAACTCGGTGCGGTGAGTCAACCAGCAGAGCGGCTCTCCGTCTCGAGTGAATCAGGCAGTAGTATTGATGTCACAGCGGTGGTGGGAAGTTTGCCGCAGTACTCGCACACTTCTACAGAGAGATGTTCCGGGGAGGCTGCAGCCTCCCCGCCCCTGCCAGAGCAGGAGCCACATCTACGCCACGAGGATTCACACCCGTCTTCGCAAAGTCGAAGATCATCCGTGTCCGTTGAAGCTGGGAGCTGTATGCCTTCTGATGTAGGACTCTCTGTCGCCTTGATGGGGCGAGCAGCCTCACTGCAGCAATCCAGTGGTACCGACGTTGAGGGCGCTCTCCCGTTGCGGTGGCTGTTCCCTGAAAAGGTGCCTCCCGTGGTGACACTGCCCAACTCCATTGTTATGACTTGCATGGTCCTTTGCGCAGGGGCGCTTGGCCGGCACACCGTAGTTGCACTAGGACAATGGTGTCTCCGCTCACTTCGAGCGCTACCGGCCACACCATGTGCTGTGGGACTCACGCATCTCATGTTGAAGTACCCTCAGTTTCTGAAAAAAGCCTCCTTGCGAGTCTCTTCAGGCCTCTTCTTGTCCTCCTCCGCCACCACTGCCGCCGTCGCCACCGCGGTTGCTGCGGTTACCAGCAGCACCAAGAGCACTAGCAGCCATGGTAATGGGAAGGCGACAACCCTTTTTTGTATTGCTGTCTTTATGGAGGGGTGTCAGTTGGCGAATACGGTGATGCTGCGGCAAGCCAACCTTCGTATGGATGGTCGTCTGGCGATGGCGTGGCAACGGGATACTGCCTCATCCGTGGCGGCGGAAGAAGGACATTTGAGCGACTTTGCAGAGACACCCTACGTGCATGAGGATAGCACCCTCCACGAGCTACGTGAAGTGCAATGCTACCTTGTCATGCTGTTGCAGGCACTTGTCATGCGGAGTGGGGTTCAGCTGCCGACGGATGCCCAGGGTGAGTTGTTTGCATTGTTTGTGACGACGGCCCGTTTACGCGTTGCGGTTGGTGCCCCAAAAGAGGAGGGATTGGGAGCAGCTGTGGGGTGTCTGCCGGCGGAGAATGGGAGTTGTCAAGCTCCCCAACGGACGCTCTCGCAGGTGGCTCTAAAGCTTGTGGATGAATCCTTTGGGGCGGTTGCACGCGCGGTTGATATTCTACTGCATGACTATGACGCAGGATGTCCGCGGCAACTCTGTGAGTCGCTTGTGTCGCTGCTTCCACCGCAGAACACGTTGTTTTCTGAGTTGCAGCGCGTTGGGGCGTGGGAGAAACACCTGGACTGCCTCGAGACTGTGCAGGCGGCAGCGGAGGCGTATCGCGAGGCCCGCCGCTCCACCTTGCCACGCCCTTCATCGCAGGAGGAGGCGGACTTCAATGCGGCACCCTCGTCGTTCTGGTCGTCAGTCGCAGCGCACGACAAGGATGCACTTCCTCGGCCGATGTCTCTTCTGGAGTTGCAGCAGGAGCTGGAGTGGCGGGCCAAACGGGCGGTGGTGGCTGTGCGCAGCGGCGCGGAGGTGATGTTTGGCTCGTTGGTTAGTGTGCTGCCCTGCTCTGGCGAGCCGCTCTGCCTCGCCACCACCCCCGACGGTGGCCTTCCCGTGGCGCAGCAACTGTGGTGGGTGGAACACACAATCGTCTACCTGGTGGAGGAATGGTGGCGCAGCCGCGTGTCAGCGCCGGCGCTGTTCCACTTTAGCGCCGAGGACACGGTGGAGACAAGCAGTAGTGACGTGTTTCGTCGAGAAGCGCAGAAGAGTTTCATTCGGTGTTGTCCAAACCCCATCTAATGCGTCGCCTGGATGCTGCTTTTAAGTGTGTGTGGGTGGGTGTAGAGTGGCGTGGAACGGAAAGAGAATGGTTTACTCACACAAGAGCAAAGCGTATATATATATACGGTAATTTCATGATGTTCAAGACTTTGCATTGGTGTTACAACGAAAAGGATGTGGTCTGGAGGTATATTTTTCCTGCATGTTGTACCGTCAGTGGGAGGAACCTTGGGCGAATACAACTGAGGCGGGTCATGTCTCCACCTCTCTCTTTTTTTTTTCCTTTTTTTTTTATTTCTCTGTTGTTGCTGATGTTGTTCTACTTTTGTTGCCTGCGTTGGAGCGCTTCCATCTATGCCTGTAGGAGGATGCCCAATAGTGTCGTGAGCAGCAACAGCGGCGGTGGTCCCCACAAGGAGGACATCGCCCAGCTCAGTGCACTTTTTGCGGAGGGCGGGTTTGACAAGGATGCGCTGGAGGGGCGCTACCTGAACCAGCTACGGCGAGCCCGGCAGCTGGGGGTGCAGCTGGAGGCGGAAAAAACGCATAGCCGTCGACTCGCAGCTGAGCTTGCGGCGCTGCAGGCGAAGATGCAGGATGTAAATAGCGGCAGAGACGGTGAAACCTCAAAGAGGCGTGTGCGGCAGGCAGGTGGCAGTGAACAAGGTGAGGAGCAGCAAAGTACGATGGCTGCGCTTAAGGAGCGCCTCGAGCGGGCGTACATACAACTGAACGAAAGTAAACTGCAGACGGAGGAGCACAAGAAGGAGTCGCAGCGCCTGCGTAAGCTGCTGCTGCAAGAGATTGGTGGCACCCCACAGGAGTTAGAGACACTGCTGAAAAGCACAGCAGAGACTGGCGGGGGCTGGCGGGGGCGAGCGCAGCAAATCGTGCTTCTAAAAGGCAAAGTGAAGGAATTAGAGCGAACTCTGGCAGCAACGGCGGCTACCGTGAGTGCGTCAGCGAACTCGGATGATGATAGTAGTGGAGTCGGCAACGGTGGTGCTGCTGTTGCTGCTTCGGCGGCGGCGCTTGTGCGAGGACGAGCAGGCGGGGCGTCGGTAGTCACCGATACTGCGACCGCATTGACGTCACGTAACCGCGACTTGGATGACGTGGCCCGTGAACGTGTGGCGGAGCTTCAAGGGCGCCGTTTTCTGCAGCTGCGGGAGGTGCAGGATGAGCTTTACAAGCGCACGGCGGAGCTGGAGACGCAGAAGCGACGGGCTGAGGCGGCGCAGGCGCGTCACGTCAATTTGGAGGCGGATAACCGAACCCTTCGCGAGTATCTGCAGACAGTGCTGACGAAGACGGAGAACGACAACCTCCTCATCGACGCCTACAAGGAGGAGCTGGCGGGGCTGCAGCAAAGGCTACATGCGGCGAGGATGCAGCTGCAGGAATGGGAAGCGTGGGAGGGTGGGGAGCCGCCAAAAGGACGAGGGGAAGAGGCACCGAAGCATCGTGAACGACGCACGAACAACCCCTGCCATCTGAGGGAAGAGAGGCTTGACGCGGACACGGCAGTGGCTCTTGCGGGGGCCGACGCAGCAATCGAGATCAACCGCTTGCGGATGGAAAACGAGGAGCTTCGAGTTCGACTGATCCGTTGTGGGAACCATGATGACAGTCGCCACTGCGGTGGTAGTAGTAGTAGGACTAGTAGTAGGAGTCCTGCCAGCCCTAGCTCCGGCGATAAGCTCCACGGGAGGAACGACGACACTGCTCTCGTCCTGCACTGGCTGCGGACAGTGGCCCCAATGCCGCCGACTGCGCAGGGTCATGGGAGTGCGTGGCAGTCCCGTGTGGCGGAGGTTCTCCGCCGGGCGCACGCCGCCGTGTGCTTCGTGGAGCAGCAACACGAGGAAGATGGCAACCGGCTCAGCAGGTGCTACGAAACCATCAAGCAGCTGCAGGAGGAACCGAAGCGGCGAAATGGAAGGCAGGCAAAGCGGGGAAGCAAACCCCACGAAGGCGGTGACGACGAGGAGGAAGACGGCGGGGCCGCAATGATGGCAGATCTCGTTTTGCAGGAGAACCGGGCGCTGAAGAAGCGGCTCAAAATGCTTCAGGCGTTGATGGAAAAGGAGCGGATGGCGTATGAATCACTCCGCTTTGCGCCCTCGGGTGCCATGCTCGGTGACGCCACCACCACCACTACCACCACCAACAACACCACCACCACCACCAACACCAACGGGGACGATGCGGCATCAGCAGGGCTTATTGGTGGTACACAGGTGACTGCCGCGGCGCATGAGCAGCTAAAGGCTCAGTACGAAGAGCTGCGTTGTGCTTTCAATTCTCTTCAGAAGGAGCGTCTTCGGCGTGGTGGTGTCTAATACCTCCATTTTTTGTTATTGTTGTTTTGCCGACGACAACGCTGTAGTTTATGCTAAGTCTGCATGTGTCGTGTTGGCCCTCATAGTGGGCGGCCCGCCGACGTCTTACATGTTTTCCCCCTCGCCTTATTGTCTCTTTTTAGTCTACAGCGGCCGCCGGTGGGGAAGCGAAGCAGCTAGAAGAGGGAAGCACTTGGAGTGGGGAGACGGTGCATAGGGCTTGGATCGGGGAAGCAAGGGCTAGGCAGTACTCTGTTGCGTGGGAATACGCAAGGCGGAGACGCAAGGATGTACAGCTGCCCGCAGCGTCTGCTGGAGATTTTGACAGTATCAGTGACGGTGGGCTTGGCGGGAGTGCTGCTCGTGGTGGTCAGCAGCCTTGTCCCGTTTGGCCACACGCAGTCCCAGCCCGTCGTCACCGCCTTCAACGTTTCCACTTCGCCGCTGATGCGGATGCGGATGCCGGTCCTCTATGCGCAGGAGGTGTCACCACCACCACTGCAAGACTACGTATTTTTTCGTTTCACGCTCAGGGCTGACTTTTCCCCTTTATGGGACTGGAACACAAAGGCAGTGTACGTCGCCTGCGTCGCCCGCTATAGCACAGACCAGTACGTCGTGAACGAAGTGACCCTGCTGGACACCTTGCTGAAAAGCAGGACGGCGGCGGCGGAGTGGCAGCTTGACAACGCCGAGAAGTACCCGCTGGAGGACGCCCGCCTCGGGGCCCTGGCTGGGGTACAGGTCCAGCTCTCCATTCGCTACCAGGTGCTGCGGTACTGCGGCTACTCTCCCACCTTTGAGATCTCACCCGTGGGAAACGTGTTCCCGGTGTTTACGCTTCCGCGAACATACGCCTCTTCGCTGCAGGACGGACATGTAGCACACACAACGTAACCATCTACCCCGCCGCCGCCGCCGCCGCCGCTGCAGCCGAGGGAAGACTAGAGGGGCGACAGCGTTGTGCTTGCTGTGCCAATTTGCCTATATATATATATATATATATATATATATATATATATATAT